CTCTGTGTGTGTGTGCTCCGTGTGCCCGCTCTGTGTGTGTGTGCTCCGTGTGCCCCCTCGGTGTGTGTGTGTGTGCTCCGTGTGCCCGCTCTGTGTGTGTGTGCTCCGTGTGCCCCCTCTGTGTGTGTGTGCTCCGTGTGCCCGCTCTGTGTGTGTGTGCTCCGTGTGCCCCCTCTGTGTGTGTGTGTGTGTGCTCCGTGTGCCTGCTCTGTGTGTGTGTGTGCTCCGTGTGCCCCCTCTGTGTGTGTGTGCTCCGTGTGCTCCATTCATTTCTGTGCTCCGTGTTCGTGTATGTGCTTCATACTCACCTGTGTGCTCCCTGCCTGTGTGTGTGCTCCATGTGCCCCGTGTGCCCCATGCATGTGTGCTCCGTGTCCGTGTGTGTGCTCCCCGTGGGTGCTCCCTGTGTGTGCTCCCTGTGGGTGCTCCCCGTGGGTGCTCCCCGTGGGTGCTCCCCGTTGGTGCTCCCTGTGTGTGCTCCCCGTGGGTGCTCCCTGTGTGTGCTCCCTGTGGGTGCTCCCTGTGGGTGCTCCCTGTGCTCCACGCATTCTCCACCGTGGGTGCATGCGGTGGGTGCACGTGCCAGGCTCAGCTGCAGACCCCACGTGTGCTTCTGGGCTGCTCCTGCTCCCAGAGCTCTAGCAGAAGCCCCACTAAACCCGGGTGTGCTTTGCTGCAGGTGCCTGTGGGCCCTTGCCCAACATAAGCCACGCGGAGCCCCCAGAGGACACCAAACTTCGGGGGAGCTTCAGTGTCGGCTCCCAAGTCACGTACAGATGCCTGGAAGGTTTTGTCAAACGCCCTTTGCTGTCGGACACCACCCAGTGCCTTGCCAACTCCCAGTGGTCCAACCTCCCCGAGTTCTGTGGTCGTAAGTGTTTCACTGTTCCTGCCACGTATCGCTTAGAGACACAGGCTGCTTGTGAAAACATTTACTGCTTTAGCAATACTGCTTCAAGAGCTTCCTCATCTGCAGTGACACACGATGGAGTTAAAAAATCGTTTACTGTAACTCTTCTTCCTCTGTTGGAGGCCTGTGCTGGTGCTTGGGTGTTAATGGGTCAATAGGCTGAGGCAGCACAGGGAAGGGGGCAGGGCTGCAGGGGTGAGGTGCTGGCCCACCTAACCAGGGGAACCTTTGGCACTGGGGTTTGCAAACCTCTGCAGGCAGAGCTGGCTGCACTGCCCCACCTCAGATGCTCCTCCGGTGGAACTGGCAGAGGAGGCAAGAACTGGGCTTGTGAACAGTTGAAAGAGGGCAATTTTTATCACTTACAATCTTTTTCCCTTAAATAGTTAACTAGGAATCGTTTCGAACTACACAAATTACCCAATACTTTCTTACCATATTTGTGGTATCCATTCGTGGTATCCATTCCTCAGCTTGCCCAGGGAAGCTGTGGCTGCCCCATCCCTGGAGGTGTTGGGTTGGTTGGATGGGGCTTGGAGCAGCCTGGGCTGTGGGAGGTGTCCCTGCCCATGCAGGGGTGGGACTGGATGATCTTTCAACCCAAACCATTCCGTGATTCTATGATATTCTTAGGGAGGTTTGCCCATTACCACTTGGATTTATGTTTGTACACAGCAGAATGCAAGATATTATTATTTTTGCTCTGTAACTGTACACTTTGGTTGTCTCCCCTGTCCCTAGGGAGCTGTCCCAGCCCACCACGTGTGAGTTTTGCCAGAATATCACAAAAAGATGAAACACTGAATTTTTACGCCGTTGGCACCACGGTGAACTACGTTTGTCGCCCTGGCTATGAGAACAGCACGGCCCAGCTCCCCACCAGCACCTGTCTTGACAATTTAAAGTGGTCAGACATTCCCGAGCTCTGTCACAGTGAGTGTCCCCACTCAGCATTGTTTTCATGACATTTAGCATAAAAACCATCAGCTGCCTGGTTTGTCATTGCTGTGCTGCTACGAAAAGTGTGTCTGGGTTGTTATTCTTCCATCCTTGGGGTGTCCTAAGGATAATATTACTCTTTTTTTTTTTTTAGGGAAGTCTTGTGGTATTCCAGCAAATCCAGAACATGGCAAAGTCATTGCAAATAATCATCTGTTTGGTACAAGAGCAGATGTAGTTTGTGACCATGGGTGAGTGTGAAGCCAGCTGTCCACTGCATCCCAGTCCCCCGGCCAGAGTCACTGGAGTGTGAGTGGCTCTGCCTGATGAGACCTTTGTGTCCCTCTGGGGTGACACGTTCTTAGTTGCTGACAACAGACTGATGTGGGGATGTGCCTTTTCCCCTGCAGGTACACGTTAAAGGGAGCATCAGCTCTCGTCTGGTGTTCCTTAAGGGGAGGGGAAGTTGCCTGGAGTCCCCTTCCAGCTTGCCATGGTGAGGTTGTCCAGTGCTCGTCTGGAATATCCCAACTGAGAACAAGCATCCCAGGCACCACCTCCTGAACTCTTCTGTTTTTCTCCCCCAGCTATTTCTTGTCCTCCACCTCCAGCCATTCCCAATGGGAAGCACAATGGCAATGATACCGAGTTCATGTACAGCTCTGTTGTGATGTACACGTGTGACCCAGGGCTCCAGCTTGTGGGGAATGAAACTCTTCACTGTACAACAGAGAACGGGGTCAATGGCACCTGGAGTGGGTCTCTTCCCGAGTGCAGGGGTAAGCACTGCTGGGGAGTCATCCTGTTCTCGAGTAGTTTTTCTTGCTGTGTAGTTAATTAGTCCTATTTCCCATCTCTCAGAAAGGGAGGCACCCCAGTCTGCACAGGGATTTCTGTAGGGTTTGTTTCCAGGGGAGCAGCATCTGCCTCCAGCAGTGACAGTTGGCAGGTCCTGGGCTTTGTAAGGTGCCAGGCTCTGCTGGAGAGCCCTGTGAGCACCATTGTACACAGCCTCACTTTGTTCCCTTCAAGAGGAACAGGCAGAGTTTCAATACATGGTGTGTGAAGTGCATCAGTAACTGCAAAGCTGGTGGGTTAGACCTTGGGGTGGATTTCTATCTGATGTCCAGCAACACCTGGCCAACGTAGCCAGGTGGAACAGCAGACTTTCCTTCATCCCTAAGGCTTGTGCTGTCACCAAGTGGCCTCTGTGTGACTGTCCCACAGCTCTCACTGGTGTAGCCACAGATGCACAAATGACCTGCCCATGCTGCATAAGGTATAATTTTTTGACTGTTTTTGGTTTATCTGTTCCCTCTGTAGCCAGCAGAGGAGCAGCCACCGACCAAACGGAGCCCTCGGGGGCAAAGACAGCAGAGAATCCTTACTGGCTAGGTGAGAGCTCAGGAGAGGCTCTGCCTCAGGGTCCTTCTGATTGCTGGAACTGCACCACCTGGGTGCCTGTGACTCCTCGCGCTGTTGGTTTTCATTTCTGCTGCCTTCATTGCTTTTGGTGGGTCTTTCTTCCAGTTCCTAAGGGGTCTGCACAGGCTTGCTCCCTGGTTTAATCCCCTTCTCCCCCTGCTGCCAGCTGAGTGACTCCTTAGCTGACATCACCCCGGGCAGGACTCCCTGGGAGCAGCCAAGCATCTCAGTAGAAACCAGTGACTTATCTGGGCTGTACTTGGACATGGCTGAGGGTGGAGGTAGCCTGGAGCTACAGACCTCAGCTGGGTCAGTGGAGAGAGGTGAGGTGAGGGACTCAAGATGAGCATGATGATGTGTGTAGTTGTTAATGACAGATGGTTTTACAGCCTTTTGTCTTCTCAGAAGTGTTAAGGTTAACTGGGTTTGAATAACGGGTGTAGATTAAGGCACTTCCTTGTTTAGTTATCATTTGCTTCATTTTTGTTTCACACCAATCTCTTTATTTTCTTCTCTAGCAAGTATCCTCATCCCTAGTGTCATTGGTAAGTAGTTAAAAATTTAAAATATACTTTTCTAAGCCAAAGCTGCTCAGAAACTCAGGAGGGGGTCTGCAAGATTCTGGCTGAGAGGGAGCCCCTGGGTGCTGACAGGCAGCCCCGGGGCAGAGAGTTTTGCTGCCAGTCCTTTGCCAAACTGCAGAAGTTTGCTTTAATTACATGTCAGGTTTGCTGTTTATTTTTCAAATGTGTTTGCTTCTTTGTTTGCTAGTTCCCCCAGTAGCCCTTGGAATTCTAGCTGGGATCATCATGAGATGGAAAGACAATAAAAAGCAGTAAGTGAGCCTAAGCTGCCCCTCATCAATCAGAACTTTCCCTAAGGATCACTGGGTGTTTCCTTTCAAGCTTGGAGTGTTAGTAATTGCCTTTAGTGTGTATGTGTATGGTTAGTACTATTATTCCATGTTGCTAAGTTGCTTTTTATTCTATGACTTTTCTCCTTTCTGTCTCTTCAGCTCTTATGATACTGATTTACAAAAGCCCAAGAAGGGGAAGGACCCCCCAAGGCACCCACAGGCAGTGGGTGCTGAGAAGCTGCCCGTGCCATGGCGTGACTATTTTTGGTAGGTTTCCTTGTTCATCTGCCCAAAAGCTTTCACCACTCTTCCACCTGTACCCCCAGACCTCAGCGGTGCTATTTCCAGCTGCAAACCTTGCCGTGCCTGACCACACCACGGGGCAGGTCTTTGTGCAGCCTTTGGCTCTAAAATGCCACCACCTGAGCTGTGGACCTGCCGCTCGCCCAAGAGGCAACAGTGGCTGCACGGGAGGGGTGGTGTTGGGGGCTGGTCTCAGGACTCCGCCCACAAGTTGCCACGTGTGTCCCAGCTGTGAAGAGGGGCTGCATGCTGCCCTAGCCCCCCACGCTGAGCCCCCCCGCCCCAGCTGTGCCACCTGCCAGGACTGGCTGCGCGCCCGGCCCGGCACCCTCTGCACCTTCTCCGTCCCCACCATCAGTGATGGGGAGAGCTGGAGTCCTGCAGGCACCAGGTACCACAGCTGGGCACTTGCTCCTGCTCCCCTTGCACACATCCACGTAAAACAAAACAGGGAAAATAAGCAGGGGGGAAGAATCTATACAAGGATAGAGCAGGTCTTGCAGTTTGAATTCCTTTGGCTCCTTTGTCTGGGTTTAGCAGCAGAAAATATTTGCTATTTAGAAATAAGCAGTTGGGTTGGGCAGTGGTGTTTCTCAGAAAGCTGTACCTCCAGGTGGGTTCAGGCTGTTGTCTCTGTCTCACGTTCAGCTCTCCTGCCAAAGCTGTGGATGTGCTGAGGGCTGATGGTGCAGGAGAAGCTGTTCCAGAGAGGAGCGAGGCAGAGCCGCCCAGGGACCCAGACAGGTCTGTCTTCTACCTGAAAATACACAGATGCTGTGGTGGGCTTGAATAAAAATAATTTCAGAGTAGAGTAGAGCTGTATTTATTCAAGTAGAAAACAAAGAGTATTCCGCACCTCCTTGTTTATTCCCATCTCTTTCCTGTCTTTATACTGTGCTGAGTATTACAGCATTTAATGATTTCTAACCCCCCGATCTCACTGAGTTTTTCCCCCCTAAAACAAAGGCACTCTGGGCAATTTTTCTGCCTTGTTCTTTCAGTGCTCCCCAAGGGCATCCAGCACCCACACGTGTTCTCCTGTTTCCTTCCCTGTGCCATTCTCTGGCAGTTGCAGTGTGGGCTGCCATGCCCAGCTGCTTCCCACAGCCCTCAGCCTGCAGGGACTGAGCTGCTCTCCCTGCTTCCCTGCTGCTCTGGGGTAGGAATGCTGAGCTGGAGGTCTGGCTGTAGTGTATGGATTTATGAGCAGTTTAGAAGAGGCATCAAAACATCTCCTACATTTTAGCAAAGTGAGGGGGGTTGTGGTAGAGTTAGTGCCCCCCTGGGTCTGCAGCCCGAGGTGGGATTCCATCCTGCTGGTCCCCAGTACCAGGGAAGCTGGAGGTGCTCAGCTTAATGGGTGGGTTTTGAGTCTCCCCGGAGAGACTCAACGTGTCCTCAATGGTGCTTCCCTGCAGCAACCACCACATCTGCCCCACCTGTGAGGACTGGCTCCGCGCCCACCTGGTCCCAAGCCGCGCCGCAGTGCCCGGGGAGCCGCGGGGCGTGCGGGGGTGAGTGCGGGACGGGCACCTCCATGTGCACCCAGGGTCTGCAACTGCCCAGGGCCTCCTCCTCCTCCTCTGCTCATGGTTGGTTTGTTCTGGGCAGAGCAGTGACAAGGTGATGTTCTGTGCTCAGTTTATTATTAGGCTTTTTTTAACCTGCCCATGCAAGTCCTGTGCTCTCTTCCCTGACAGGGTCACTGCTGACAGAGCAAAAGTCAAATAAGTATTTAGTTAAAATACACGTGGTCTGGGGAGTGCATCCACCTGCCTAGGCTTCTGCAAGTACTTCTTTTTACCAGTCATTTTCTTGCTGTTCCTTGTCATCAGCCCCAACCCTGGAGGAGCTGCTTCAGTTCCGCACTTGTGAATTGCTGTTTGGGTTTCAAAAGTTAATATCTCTGGAATTCTTAATGAAGCTGGGTTTGGGGGTGTCGGAGGCTGTGCGGTGAGGCTTGGCAAGGAGCAGCTCCCGAGATCAGCCCGTCGGGGCGCCCCCCTGGCTCTCCCCACAGCCCCCAGGGTCCCATCTGCCCGCCCTGCGCCGACCGCCTGCACCTCTCCCTGGTCCACAGCGACGTGACGCGCTGCCCCGTGTGTCCCCTGGCCGGGGAGGGGCCCCTGGCTCACCTGGTCCCCCGGAGCACCCCTGGCTGCCACGTCTGCCCCGGCTGCGCTGCGCCCACCCACAAACATCTGTGCCAGCCCCGAGGGTAGGGACCTGCGCGGGGACCCCAAAGCATCCTTGGGGTCACTGCGGCCGGGTGGGGGGGCGAGGGCCACAAACCAGAGGCTGCACAGGTTGCTCCTCCCCGAGCCTGGGGGTGCCTGGGCAGCGCTGAGCCCCAGGGATCTGCTCCTTTCCCTGCTGCAGGATCAGTGCCCAGGGCCGGGGCGTCCCACGGGGCACGGAGTGAGTCGGGCAGGAGGGAGAGCTACAGAGTCTTGACGTGTCGGGGCTGGAGCTCCAAGTGCAATAAGGCAGCCTGGAGTCTGTGTCTGGCTTCACAGCCAGGAATTCCTTTGTAAAGGAGCCGGAGAATCCAACACACTTCAAGCTCAGCCCCTTATTGGTTTAATGGCTACTTTTGTGATTGTTTCAATGGGAAAAAAACCCGCCCAGACTATTTGTGCAGATCTTAAAGAGAAACTTGAAAAAATCAATTAACGTTTCTTTCCACTAGGAAAATAATTTCACAGTAAACACTGTCTTTGCATACTCTTGCCAGATTGACTTGTATTTTTTAAACTACTTTGTTACTGAGGTTCATTTACTGGTGTGAAAATGACAGTATTTATAGTAAGTCTTTTGTAAATAAAGGGAATATAAAAAGGGCCGGGGTTTTATCTTTCTTATTTACTGATTTTTATTTTGCTGATTTACTAATCAAGCTTCTCACGGGGCGCTGTCAGTGGCTGTGCAGTGTCATTCTTTGCCGGATGTATCAGCTGCTCAGCTAATTGCTGCTGCTCCCTGAATTGCTGCGGACGGGGCCCCGTTCCGCCCTTCCCGGGAACTGCGGTGACGGGGCTGAGGTTCCCCCGCTGGAAAAACTGCCTTTCAGCGGTGTTTGCACAGACGGGGGGATGTCCTGGCGTCCTGGCGAGCGGCCGGAGGTGCCACAGA